TACACAAGCCAAATGCACTCTAGTTTTATCGAATAAAATGAAACCCGGATGCATCCGGTATCGCACACGGTTGAGATATGAGTCAAACAATGGGGATTCCAAAGTTTCGGGTACCAGCTAAGTAACCACGAATGTCCAACCGGTCACTGCTAAGTGGCAATACTAGTGAAGCAGTTATATTGTTTGGCTTTGGAAACAGTTACGTGGAGCTAATCTAACCGAAATTCGATAGGCATTGAAGTTGTCGCTTCGACTAACGATGAAACACTTTCAATAAAATTTCACAACTTGATGAAGAGGTGTAAATGAAGATATCTACTGCGATTCAATAATTTATTTTGAGCTTGTGAAAATCGATCGATTCCACGATACATGGTAGTTTGCTTTTAATTTCATGAGTGAATGAACATTTGGCTGTGTAAGTCAAGGGTCCAAAAAAATGATAGTTAATAATGCGTTTCAAAAGTGACACGTGCCTCAGTGAGGGAATCGGTGGACTGTTCCGTTTGGTCAAAAACTAGGTAGCAGCAATTTTTCGTTGTTCGTTTTCATCAGCCCATGGAAACTGACGGGTATCAAATCCGGATAGAATTAGGTTTCTCTAATTGGGGCTGTACAAGTTTCTCTGCTAGTTACATGAGTTCGAATTGAGAAGCAGTTTAATCAAAATGAAATTATTTACGTACTGCTCCAAACACCAATCCTATCGTCCAGTGATTTTTTTAATCGATCGTTTAGTCGTTTAATCGATAGATAGTGTTTGTTCCATCACAGACTCGTTTTGTGTTCTATCATCTGTGAAAGCTGCATATTCAGCATGCATTTGGGAGTTACTCGAAGGTTTCCATTTTAGGTTTGTACGGTTCTACTGGCTTTACAGGAACCTATTTCTATCTTTCATTCTTGAGAGAAAACCTCCATCGACGGTGCATACCCACCATATCGGTGGCTAAAGTTAGATACGTCCAGTGCCAGTGGTTAGTAAATGCTGCCTCGTACTGTTGGCTTTCAGTGAACTGCTTCCGGTTAGGTCAGGTTANNNNGTTTGATTTACGGACTCCGTGCTCCCGTTTGAATCCTCGTGAATTTAGTTTGAATGAGCTTTGCAGCCTTTTACAACCACTAAGCAACGCTATAACTTTTGACTAGTAATTACCAGTGCAATGTAATGTTATATACTACTGAGAGACATATATTTATTCTTTTCCGCGTGGTTCACAGTGCTTATGCATCACTGTGTTACAGGTAAGGTGCTGCCGGTTAGTTCATGGACCACGAAGGGCGGACTAACAGTGAGTTTGATATAACGCATTTAAGCTTGATTAGGTCGACATTTGTTCTAGATAAAAGACCGAGTTGTGACCCGAGAGGTTTTTCTGCTACTCGACTGCAAAAACAATAATTAATCGGTAAAGCTGGTTGGAAATATGTAGAACCTTACAGCTGAAACTTAGGTAACTTGATTGTTCTTATGTGGAGATAAGTTGG